CCCCCGCCCCCGGTGGGCTCTCCCGTGCTGCCCACGTGCTGCCTGCAAGCGAAGTCCGGGAAGGCTCCCCAAGCGCGCCTTGCCAAGTTGCTGAGTCTCGACAGCGGCCGCAGCCAGCAGGGACAAAGTGCGGACGCTGCTCTGCTGCCTCCTGCTGAGGCGTCGGAGTGAGGGGCGAAGGTCAGGGGCCGCGCCTTGGCCTTGCGCGCTCCGGTTCTCCCGCCCCCCCCCCAAAAGGCAGAAGAATAGGACGAATTAAAAAAGAAAGAAAGGGGGAGGGGGGAGCCCACTGAGTGGCCTCCAGACAAATCCCGGGTGGGAAGAGCCGCACCTCCCCTCTGAGCGGGGGGGGGGGGGGGGGGGAGACAGACTGACGCCAGAGGCCGCTGAGTGAGAGCCCGACTTCGAGCCCCCCGCCCCCAATAAGGGAAATTGAACGACCGAAAGCAGCTTCAGGGGACAGACTCGTGTGGCTCGATTTGTTCACTGGGGGTGTGTGTGTGTTGTTTTTGGCAGGAAGGAGGCGTCTCTACCAGCACCTGCTCTTGCTGCAGTGGAAATCTTAAAATTTTTAAAATCTTCATAAAATGACACATAGTGCAGAAATGAGTCTCCTTGTGGCACATGAAAGACTGACCAGTTTTTATGCCAGTGAAGTTTTTCTTTTCTCCCCCCCCCAGATGGCAATATTACAAATCTATTAAAAAGATGTATAACATGGTGGCTTAGTAAACCACAATAACAACCTACTCATAATATCCTACTATTTCCTCATAATGTGCTTTCATTTTTGTCTTATCAATTATAAAATAAAACATAGGTAAGTTCTCCTTCTATATGCGTAACTTCTTTAAGTCTCAATGAAAGTTGAAGATATGTTAGCCATTGGCTGAGGTCACACAAACTCAATAATCTACATTCAATCCAATTTCAGTCCACTTTCCAAGTGGACTTTGCCAGTTCACACAGGAAAAATTGGTTGCAAAGTGCATTGAAAGTAGATTATTTAGTGTGTGTGACCACAGCCATTGTATCTTTTCCCCTTCTTCATTAGTAGCTTGCCAAGGTTTAATTTTTCCTCACTGATCATATCTTGTGATATGTTATAAAATCATTATTTTCCCTCTCAGGTTTGTCATAATAAGCATTGAGTGGTGACATTACAGGTGATATTGGGGGACTTATATGCCCATGACCACCAATTTTTCAATAAACTGTCTCTGGTAATGTGTGAATTACATCTCTTCATTTTGAGTGTTTTTCCAGCTTTTTAAATCCAAAGATGACTATGTAGACCTTCAGTGATGCTCACTACACTCTTGTATAAGAATCCAATTATAGAAAGCAAAAACAAGTGTAGTAAACAGACGCACTACCGTCGGTCCCACTGGAAGTCTGAATCTTCTGAACCTGATTACACATTGGAGATTTGCATCCGTTCTTGTGTTGAATTGTTATTGTTCCCAGTGCATGTGGGTAAAAGTATGGAAACCACAGAAACTTAAAGGGAACACCCTGATGAAGGATGAACTCGGAAGTGTTGTAATCAAACATCCAGACCCAACGTTGCATTATTATATTAGTTCTCCATTATTCTGTGGATTTTTCTATGGTGGTGTGTTATTACACAAGTTCTTCATTGTGTTTTTATTTTGTATTTTTCTTATGTGGCTACTTTGTATTTGCTACTTTCTTTTACATGTTCTTTAGCATTTTGCCAATCTGTAAGTAGTGAGTCTGTTTACTACACTTGTTTTTGCTTTCCATATGTAGACCTTCAGACAAATCTGCTCCTTCCAATTTCATCAGTCTTTCATTTGGGTTTTTGATCCAGTCAGAGATCCAAACCAAGCCGGCTGCTTGATAGTACAACTTGATATTAGGAGCCTCAAGGGCCTCCTCTTTTTTTCCATCTCGTAAAACTTTAAATCTAACCCTTCCATATTAATGTATTTATCTGTCTTTGCCAGTCTTGCAATATCTTGTCATGTATCTCAATTAGGAGCATCTGGAATAAAATAAAATAATTTTTGGTACAATGTTCGTTTTTATTGCAGAATTTTTCCCAAGCCAGGACTAATTTAATTTAGACCATCCTTCCAAATCCTTTTGATTTTTCTTCCAAACGGCTTCATAATTATCTTGAAAAATTGTTTCTTTTTTCTCAGACACATTTATTCCCAAATATTTGATTGAATTGGTGACCAAATCACAGCCTGTAGTTCATTTAATATTATCTTCTTCCTGTTTTGTTAAGAATTTTGAAATCATTTTAGTTTTTTTTCTTATCAGTTTTAAATCCAGAAAGGGAACCAAACTTTTCCATGTGTTCCATAACAAATTGTATTGTATTTTGTGTGTTTAACATTGTCAATACTACATCATCTGCATAACTCTTTAATTTAAATTCTTCTCCACCAGTGAAGTTTTTCAATTGGTCCAATGCCCGTATTGGCAGGTATTTATGTATGAAAAGGAAACCAACAGCAGAGTTATTAAGGAGCCATGAAATGGGCAGGGGTGGAGGAGGAGGAGGAGGAAGGGGGGCCATTTCCGGTGTGTTAATGAGCTCAGGAAAACTGGGGCATTTGCTAAGGACAGCTTCTGTGAGTGGCCTCTGCCCTTGTCCCGACTGCCGGTTATCGCCCAGTGCAGGAAGGTGCACTTTGGTCCTCGGCTGCCTGTAGATTTTCTGCAGATATGTGTTTGCCTCCCGCGGACCCACTTGCATGTGCTGGAAGTACATGAAAGCTCATACTGGGAGAAAATCTTGCTGGTGTTTGAGGAGCCGCTACTACATTCCTGTTTGTTTCTTCTGTAACAAATTAGACCCGCTGCCCCTCTGGCATCATTTCTGTACAACGTGTAATTCTGCCTAAAGATAGAGAAGCTGCAGTTCTCGGACACAAAGTACACAGTTCCTTCCCAGACTTTTCCCAGTGGGTGCCAAGAGCAAACAGAAAGCAACTTGGTGCCTAATTAATATGATCAGTTTGCACAAAGAATGAACAAGGAACTTTATTAACATGCCAGCCAGGCTGTCTAGAAGTGGGGACCTGGGATTTGGCAACACGAATCTGGTGTTATGTATTACTGTGTTTACTGTCCTGCTTCTACTACATTGTTTTCTACTCCTGTAATTCCATGCTCTGCTTTCTTTGACATATCATATCTGATACTTTCTGCATTGCTTCTGATCTGCAATTCTTGGCCTGTTAGGTTGCTGGTTAGATGTAACGTGCTATCTGAAGGCATTGTTTTCCCCTTTGTAACGCACCTTGAGTCTCTATGACAAAGGATGGGCTGTAACTAAATAAATAATTTTTGCTCAAATAAAGCAGGAGTGCTCTTACTGAATGTGACCAACCACTCCACCTTGCCTGATATTTCTGAAAGGCCTGGGTGAATAAAATACAGATATGATAACTTGAGCAGAAAGCATTTTACACACAGGGGCCATCTTAATGCCGCCAGAGCCCTGGGCAAAACTTAAAGATGCGGCTCAGAATCACTGGGGGAACACCCCCCCCCACACACATGCACACTGCTGCCTAGCTGAAGCTCTGAGTGAGGGCTAGTCCGTCACACAGTGGCCAAAAACACCAGGTGCCCTCAGGAGGTCCAGCAGTGGGGCCAGGACACCAGAAGCCCTCCCACTGTTGCCCCCATCCCAAGCACCAGGAATACAGAGCATCCCTTGCCCCAGACCCAGAGTTCCTATCTATACCTTGTGGCTAATAGCCACGGATGGACCAAATCCCTCTTGAAGCCGTCCATGTTTGTAGCTGCCACCACCTCCTGTGGCAGCGAATTCCATGTGTTAATCACTCTTTGGGTAAATAAGAACTTCCTTTTATCCATTCTAACCCGACTGCTCAGCAATTTCATTGAGTGCCCACAAGGAGTTCTTGTATTGTGAGAAAGGGAGAAAATACCTCTTTCTCTACCTGCTCTTTCCCATGCATAATCTCGTAAACCGTGATCATGTCACCCCTCAGCTGTCATTTCTCTAAACTGAAGAGCCCCAAGTGCCTTAACCTTTCCCCATAGGGAAAGTGTTCCAACCCATTTATCATTCTAGTTGCCCTTTCCCCAATGCTATAATTAATGCCCCCTCTAAGCTGTGGAGTCTTGTGAGCAAAAATTCTACTTTGTGAGCTACTGGCATTAAAGTGGTGAGCGAGCGATTTGGCTACTGCATTAATTAGTTTGCTCTGGAGCCCTCCTTCCTGAGCTAAGACAAAAATGTGTGAGGCTAGAATACTGTGAGCTAGCTTACACTAACTCCGCTTAGAGGGAACACTGACTATAATATCCTTTCTGAGGTGTGGTGACCAGAACTGCACACAGTATTCCAAATGAGGTCTCACCATTGATTTATATAGGGGCATTATGATACTGGCTGATTTGTTTTCAATTCCCTTCCTAATAATCCCCAGCATAGCATTGGCCTTTTTTATTGCAGTCACACACTGTCTCGACATTTTCAGTGAGTTATCTACTAAAAATTCCAAGATCTCTCTTTTGGTCAGCCTCTGCCAGTTCAGACCCCATCAACATGTATTTATAGTTAGGATTTTTTGCCCAATGTGCACCACACTGAACCCCATTTGCCATGTTGACGCCCACCCGCCCATCCTCGACAGATCCCTTTGGAGTCCCTCAC